TCAAATAATATAGTTCAATTGTATTAATGGGCCCCTCCTTTAATTTTAATATTTAGTACTCTCTGGTTCCCATTAGTCAACATTCAAAGTCCCCTCTCATCATATACTTATTTTCCAATCAACGAAGCTTTCCATCAGAGAATTTCTTAATTATTTAAAAATCTTTGTATATTATGTTATAAAATTTCAAACCACAGGAAATTGTTTCAAGTCTATCTGGCCCCTTACCTTTTCCAATCAACATTCTAGGCCTTCTTTTGCTGATTTCCAAAAGTGAATTTTTCTTTTTAATGGTTAAACTTACATGTAACCTTTAATCAAGGATAAAAGGAAACTGTCCCAGCATAATAAAACTTATTTGTTCGAAGGTTCCTAACATCAAAAATATCAGTGACGAGCAATTTCCTAAGGTGCTTAAGAAAGGCAAACCCAATGTCAATTGAAGGGATTGAATGATGGCTTAAGGAAGATGATTTTCCCCTTGGCTCCCAGAGCTCCAAAACCTCCTGGAAGTTTTTATTTTATGAACTCTTTTATGGGGAGCTGTATGGAGCAACTTGGTATCTAAACCTCTCCTTGATTTGGAGAGGATTTCCAAGGAGCCAATTCATTCACAACCTTTTTTCTGCCATTGCTATTGACTCTGCTTTTACAGAGCCGTCTTCAGTGTGTGTTGCTTTCCCAAAAGTCCATTTTGGTGGTAAAATTTGCTACTACTGTATTAGAGCAGGTTTTTATTGTCAACATTTCTTTGGGAATGATGATAACGGGATTGACTACTGCACTAAGGATTAAGATAAATATTTCTATTTAGTATTATTCAAAAGTTTATGTTATAGTTTGACTGAGTGGTGAACTGATGATTAGTGTCCCTTATTTTTTGAGAACGTATAGAAATGAAGAGTTTTAAGATTTCTCCAGTTTCGTTGTAAAATTTAAAGTGAGAGTTAGCATTAGGGAGAAGTTTTATGATTTGCAGTAGTTTGAATTTTAGATAATGGGTTAAGGTTAAATATTCATGTATATACACTGCTCAAAAAAATAAAGGGAACACTTAAACAACACAATATAACTCCAAGTCAATCACACTTCTGTGAAATCAAACTGTCCACTTAGGTAGCAACACTGATTGACAATCAATTTCACAAGCTGTTGTGCAAATTGAATAGACAACAGGTGGAAAGCATAGGCAGGTAGCAAGACATCCCCAATAAAGGAGTGGTTCTGCAGGTGGTGACCACAGATCACTTCTCAGTTCCTATGCTTTCTGGCTGATGGTTTGGTCAATTTTGAATGCTGGCGGTGCTTTCACTCTAGTGGTAGCATGAGACGGAGTCTACAACCCACACAAGTGGCTCAGGTAGTGCAGCTCATCCAGGATGGCACATCAATGCGAGCTGTGGCAAGAAGGTTTGCTGTGTCTGTCAGCGTAGTGTCCAGAGCATAGAGGCGCTACCAGGAGACAGGCCAGTACATCAGGAGATGTGGAGGAGGCCATAGGAGGGCAACAAACTAGCATCAGGACTGCTACCTCCACCTTTGTGCAAGGAGGGACAGGAGGAGCACTGCCAGAGCACTGCAAAATGACCTCCAGCAGGCCACAAATGTGCATGTGGCTGCTCAAACGGTCAGAAACAGACTCCACGAGGGTGGTATGAGGGCCCGACGTCCACAGGTGGGGGTTGTGCTTACAGCCCAACACTGTGCAGGACGTTTGGCATTTGCCAGAAAACACCAAGATTGGCAAATTCGCCACTGGCGCCCTGTGCTCTTCACAGATGAAAGCAGGTTCACACTGAGCACATGTGACAGACGTGACAGGGTCTGGAGACGCGGTGGAGAATGTTCTGCTGCCTGCAACATCCTCCAGCATGACCGGTTTGGCAGTGGGTCAGTAATGGTGAGGGGTGGCATTTCTTTAGGGGGCCGCACAGCCCTCCGTGTGCTCGCCAGAGGTAGCCTGACTGCCATTAGGTACCGAGATGAGATCCTCAGACCCCTTGTGAGACCATATGCTGGTGCGGTTGGCCCTGTGTTCCTCCTAATGCAAGATAATGCTAGACCTCATGTGGCTGGAGTGTGTCAGTAGTTCCTGCAAGATGAAGGCATTGATGCTATGGCCTGGCCCGCCTGTTCCCCAGACCTGAATCCAATTGAGCACATCTGGGACATCATGTCTTGCTCCATCCACCAATGCCACGTTGCACCACAGACTGTCCAGGAGTTGGGGGATGCTTTGGTCCAGGTGTGGGAGGAGATCCCTCAGGAGACCATCCGCCACCTCATCAGGAGCATGCCCAGGCATTGTAGGGAGGTCATACAGGCATGTGGAGGCCACACACACTACTGAGCCTCATTTTGACTTGTTTTAAGGACATGACATCAAAGTTGGATCCGCCTGTAGTGTTTTTTTTTCAATTTAATTTTGAGTGTAACTCTAAATCCAGACCTCCATGGGTTGCTAAATTTGATTTCCATTGATAATTTTTGTGTGATTTTGTTGTCAGCACATTCAACTATGTAATGAACAAAGTATTTTATAAGAATATTTGATTCATTCAGATCTAGGATGTCTTATTTTTGTGTTCCCTTTATTTTTTTGAGCAGTGTACTTTACTGTTGTGACTGAGTTAGACTTAGAGTTTGGATTTATTAAGATTTGTAGTAAAAAAAAGTTAGGAGAACCATCTCACGCTCTGTAGTAATTTGGGGTTTATGTTATTATTTTAATTAATTGCTCTAATGCTTATTGGAATGAAGATGAGATTCAGATTGCTGTTAGGAATCTGTAAAGCCAGGAAGACTTGATGTCTTTTTTAACATTTACAGGGTTAGCTTTTTTATTTTACAGTTGACTGTCTTGGTTTCATATTACTTTATGCTTATGCATTGCTTATGTAGTCCATGTGGGCCTGACCATGTGGGCCTCTGTAGTCCATACAGGCCTGACCATGGAAGAGCTAGAGGCAATTTGATTCTTGCAACTCATTTTTTACAGCAATGTCTCCAGTCTGGCATTCCTGCTGCTTTACATTACTGTACTGCATTTTTCCTTTTACTTTCTGTTCCTTATAGTTCACTTACTACAGTTGCTTCATTGATTGAAGTAGTTAATATATTGATCAAATAAATAAAATATTATTTGTAAAATACTGACATATATATCAGGTGATTGTGTTGCTTATTTCTGTTCCTTGAAAAAGACTGAAATATAGTTAAGTGAAATTCCCAGAAAAACAATTGCTATTAAGTCATATCAACAATCAATATGATTGAACACCGGAATTGTATTTTAATGGCTCATGACTGACTTCACTTAACAGCAATCAGATCACTCTTAAGTCTTCAACAGGGAGGCTTGTCTCATCTTCCGCTACTCATTTACTGTAATTTAGTTGTGGGGTTTTTTCATATTACAAGGAGGTTACTTTTCGCTATTAATACCAGCAGCAGGTCTTACCACAATCTATTTGCTATGTCAGATATAAACTCATATACCACCTCCTGAAGGTATGAAAATTCCAGTATTTAGGGACTAAAATGGGGCTGAACAATAGTCACAGCACCATCTTGTGGCAATCGTGGAAAGAAAAAGCTAAAATTGCTGGATTGCTGTACAAACGTCAAATGAGGAATATTACTTTCTTCTGCCAAAGATACTGTCCTTTTTAGCTATTAAACATTGTAAACTCTTTTCAAAGGCACAAATCATAAAACAGAGACCACTTCAAATGGTCTACAATTACTGTAATCATAAACCTGAAATTGCCTTCCATTATTCTGAGCTGCACCCCTACGCACAATTAAGCTGCTATGTATATACGTAATTAAGAACCCCGGTGCTCATTTTCTGAGGATTGAGTTTATTGCTTCTACAGCAGTGGTCCCCAACCTTTTTTGTACCAGGGACCAGTTTCAAGCAGAAACACTTTTTCAAGGACCGGGGGGGAGGGGGGGAGAGTCCAAGTTTGGTGGTTTGCTTGCAGACGTTTCATTACCTGACTAGGTAACATCTGATGTTGTTAGCTAGTCGGGTAATAAAACGTCTGCCAGCAAACCACCAAGTTCAGGGAGCGCCAATGCCTCCTCATTGCAACCCTGAGCGACAGATATTCTCTTCTATTGGGACATTTAAAACGGAGGGTTTCAGCTGCAGATTCAGGAACTGCGCCGGGCTGAGGAGCGCCTTCAAAACTGAGCGCTGGGCGGCGGTGGCCCACGGCTCTCGGCCCTGCCTTCCTCAGCCCCATCCCTCAGGTGTCTCCCTCCCTCCCTCAGGGGTCTGCCTCGTTCCTCTCTCAGTCGCTCTCTCGCTCCTCCACCAGCCCAGGAAGAAACTGCTTCAAAGAAGCCGGCAGCGTGGCTTTTCCTGTCGCCGCAGCTCCTCCGAAGCGCCCGTTCACCCCCACCCCGCCGCCCGCGCGCGGTTCAATCCAGTGCTTCGTTCTGCCTGCCTGCCTGCCTGCCTTCGTTTCTGGTTGTTTGGGAGCAGCTTCGGCTGATAAAAAGAGGCAAATAGTTATTATTCTCAGCCAAAGCTGCTCCGAATCAACCAGAAACGAAGGCAGGCAGGCAGAACGGAGCACTGGATTGAACCGCGTGCGGGCGGCGGGGTGGGGGTGAACGGGCGCTTTGGAGGAGCTGCGGCGACAGGAAAAGCCACCCTGCCGGCTTCTTTGAAGCAGTTTCTTCCTGGACTAGTGGAGGAGCGAGAGAGCGACTGAGAGAGGAACGAGGCGGGAGGAAACCGAAGCCGCTGAGCCGGAGAGCAGGACAGGCTTCGGTTGCTTCCTCCCTCCCCTTCTTTCATTTGTGTCCTTGATCCCTGATCCCAGCAGCATTCACCGAAGGCGAAGAAAGCCGCCATTTTTTTTTATATTTTTTTTCTTTGCGGCCCGGTACAAAGTGATCCACGGACCGGTACCGGTCCGCGGCCCGGTGGTTGGGGACCCCTGTTCTACAGGATGATCCTTACTGTAATAACATTCACAAATCAACCATTAGTGTTTACAGCTTTTATTTTGTACAGGTGAACTACAGAGCTTCTTAGGCTAGAGCAGCAGGGCAGTTGTGACAACTTTCATACTCTATTGCATTTACAGATAAGCTGGGCACAATTAAGTACAAGGTTCACATGGCAAAAAATTCATTTTATACAGCATCTGGCTATACAAACAAGTCACTCAGAATAATTACTTTTATGTAACATTGGATTACATTTTAACAATACTCATGCAAACCAATTGTTGCAATATTGCTCACTAAAAACTGGCAATTATTTCCAAAATGGTCTTCCCTGCTATATTTTTGATCCAATTAAAAGAAGTGTGTATAATGCCTTAGAAAACAAAGCACCAATTATTTCGAAAGCATAGATAATTTGGATTACACAAGGGAAACAACAAATCCATTACTTTTTAATCTGCTAATATAGAAAAATAGATTAAATATTCAAAGCTAGACATTGAATGTATTAAATAGATCCACTGTCACAAATTCCAATCTTGAAAGCATAATTAAATCTAGAATTAGTTTTATTTCCATTGCCAGTCATTCCATGTTCTATGTCGAATTTTCAATATACCAGAGTTTTTAATTTGGCTCTAGATTCAATATTCTTATGCTCTATTTCTTGAAAACTCTGATTCCTGGGTTCAGAAAATTAAAAGCCTACATCTTTTCTGAATAAACAGAGGAACATTTGACTGTTATTTTTCCTTTGTCATGTAATACACTATTGTGAACAGTTATTACAGCTACACACAATCTAGTTGGTATTTGCCTAAATTCCCTTAAATAGAACTGTTGAATTTACTGGAAGGTAGCAGGAACTAATGTATACATTATGAAAATTCAAATTATTTTAAATTATTCCAGAAAAATCTCATTATACAAAGACTGAAAATGCAAGCTCTACAATAACAAAGAATATTCAAGAAATAAAGCATATAAATTTCATAGTTCCAGTTCACTGGGATTTCGAATAGAATACTATATAATCTGTTTTAGCTGAATTTCTTTCTTTTTTAAATTTATCTACAAAGTACATAAAGTACCTTATTTGTTCATTGCATGTTTCATTCAACTAGGAGAATTTTCTAACCCATGACAGCCATACTTAGAAAGAAACCAATGGTTATCACAATGCCTGCCTCTAATAACCCGTTGCTTTCTTGGCAAAGAAACTCCAATGAACTCCTATTCAAATCATGGACAAACGCATCATTAAATATTATATTCACAGAAGCAAAAGGAAATCTTTTAGATGTTTTGAAATAATTTAATGGTATTATTCAAAAAAAACAGAAAGAGTATGACTATACTGAGCCACGAAACAGATTCCCAATTTACAGGTGTCTAGAAAGAAAAATCCAATATAAGTATTTCCTTCCAATCTGTCTCCCTTTTTTTGAAAGGCTAACTGTACTCAAGTACACATTAAAACCAACACATTGTAAAGAATTATGGTTAACGATTGCAATCCAGAAATAATTCAAGGTGCATAGGCATGCTTTGTATACAACTATCCCAAAGCCAAGATTATTTTCTTTCCAATTTCATGATTGCAATGATGCCATTTTAATTGCCCCTGGAATTTGTTCACTGGGCAAAGAGCTAATTTGAGGAGTTAGAATTAGCACAATCCACCTGCATATTCATCATCTTCCTCATTTCCACAAGAAGCTGATACAGCTGGTCCACTTCCTTTACTCTGCGGTGCAACTGGAGATTTCTTCTTCACGCCTCCTCCTGGGACACCAAGCGAAAGGCCAAGCTTTGCATACTGGCAAAGATTTAAGAAATAATAAGATGCCTGCATTTTAAAAGCACATCCCAATTATTTATCAAAGCACTAGACAACCTTGCTGCAGTAAGCTCTATATAATATGATGAGGACCTGTGAAGAAAAAAAAATTCTAGGAAAATAGCTGGAAAATGCCAATTTATTTTAACAGTAGAACACCCAATGATTAAATACCACACTGTACAAATACACTACCTTAAGAAAAATAGTCTGCAAGCTAATATGCATCTCACTGCTACATGAAAACAAAATATTTATTACTAAAAACATACAATGAAGCAGCCAAGAAAGCAAAGCTATCAAACACTTATGCTCAGGAGAGGTTGATCTCCGCAACAAATAAATTACCGAAAATATTCTTTTCCAGATAGGAAAATGTCTCCAAAAACAGATAAATCCAGAATAAGACATTGGAAGAACACAAGAAAATAAATGGTTTCTTCTAATGCTGTTTTTACATGCTCTGTGCCATTCATTTAAAGTGCTGATTACGGCAGTAGTTTAGGTATCATAATATGACAAAAGTATGTAAAAAGAATGCAATAACTTACAAATATTCCATTTTAAATACTGGATATATGATAGTAATTTATCAATGACGCGCATTGTTCATCAGTGAGCCAACCGATGTATATCATCTGTATTTTTCAATTAAAAAAACATCCACTTCTTTTAGTAAGTACTCTGTTCAGTAAATAAAAGCAGCAACTTACATCGTTGTCCATATACTTAAAGAGTGGAGAATTGCAAACATCTGATACTTGGTCCTGATCTTGTTGATCATATCCTTCTAGGAGCTGCTCCAGGGCTGCATAGTCTTCACTTTCTATAAAGCCTGGTATGCTGAAGCAATTAAGCATTTATTTGAGGCTATTTAAAAAATTGAGAAAACTTATATGCAAATAAGAAAAGCACAGATTTTCTTAAATATATATTCTGGGTGATGGCCAGCATGCCTTTTGGTCTGTGGAATACCTTATTTAAAATGTACTTCATTACTGTTCCAATGCACAACGGGCCTTTTAGCATAAATTGCCAATTATATTTAGCACCAATCCTACTTTCTCTGCTGGATTTTATCACCAGGTTAATTATTCCAAGCAACAATTACAATACAGTTTGTTATGCTATGCTAGTGTTGTAGCATAACTATTATACACTATCCAGATATAATTTAATTGCCAGCTGGCTTCCTAAGCACTTCAAAGAAATACATGTTAATAAATCAAATTGTACATTTTAATTTCTATGACAGAAAACAATGTTAATAAATTAGAGAGATACCTAAATGGCAATATATAAGGGAAGCCTGTAATTCTCAAAACTTAATAATGAAATAAAATGACAAGTGTATACAGGTGCCCTCTCAAACACAAATTAAATTAAAATTCAGTCAATGTATTAAATAATTTACCTGTAGCTTTCCCTGACACATTTTTCTGCAGCAACGTAGTCATTTCTATGAAGATGTACTAAGACCTGGGCAATAGTTTTCTTAAAAAACAAAACAAAACCAAAAATGAGTATTTATAAAGAAAAGCAGTATTTTTCACACTTTAACCAACCTATACCAAAAAAAATAATTTCTATTGAAAGGGACATAGTGCTGTAGCAAAACAACAACAGTTTTCTTCTACAAACAGAGATTCTATTAAAAGATTGCAAGTTCCTTGGTAGAGAGGCTTTATAGGGTTAAGGATAATCACCCCTTTAGAAAAATAAATCTGGGATGTGAAGACTACAAAAGAATGTAAATATATGATGTACTTTGATTTTTGCTCATTTTGCCAGTTCTCTGTAAAACTGTTCCGAATAAAGGGTAGGAGTTTTGCATCTACTGATCAGTACAGTTTGTAGAAAGGGTTTGTGAATGAAATCACAGTTGAATTTTAGGCACTTGTGATCTCTTTCATTGAATGCAGCTAAAAGTACTATTTTCATATGGCACACAACTGAGATTAAATCTGAGGTCAAAAGAATCCCCCAAAATGAATGATTAAATATTAACTTTTCATGTAACAATGAGAAATCCAGAAATTTCTCAGAGAAATTTCTCAGAGAAGAAAAGGGTGTTTTAAAAATGCATCTTTTAAGGGGATTGGTAAACCTACGTGGTATTAATGATCCCGTGTAGTTTTCATAGTGACATAAACTGAACAATTTGTCTACCATGAAAATAGACAGAATATTGTTTTCTGTCTTCAGGCTACTGAGTCAAAGAAGTGGAAAGACTGAGTTGCAAGCTAACTCTTGCTGATGTTAATAGTAACCAAAACATTTGTAGATCAGTTTGTATTAATGTATTACCTGCACAGATTTTCTGTTTTTAGTTATTACAACAGAAGAACAGCTAATATCAAAAGCTCAGACAACAGAATTTCCACAAAATCCAGGAAACCAAAATATTTCATAGCAACTGAAGCCTAATCATGATTGAAAAATGCCAAATCATATTAAGAAAGAGTGGCATTAATATCTTTTCAGCACAGTGGGAGAAAATTCATCCTAGTGATCAAATTACACTAAATAAATACAAAAGATCTAGATTTTATAAAGGCCTCTCCGTGCAACTCTTTTAAAATCAACTGAAAGAATCCAAATAATGGTGTACTATTAGAAGTGAAACCCCCAAGTTAAAATAATTCAAAAGATAAAACACAACCCCCCCTTCCCTGCAAAAACACAAGAAATATGTAGCTGTATACTTTGTAACACGTTGGATAGTTTTCAATATCTTTATAAATACTCTTTTCTTTTTGAATAGATTGTGCCGCCTCATCTAGTCTGCAAAACAAAAATGAGCAAGAAAGGTTTATTTAAATCTGCAGGGATCAGAAGGTCAAGATTATCCAATTTCCCAAATAAATGTACTATTTCAATGGGAAAAAAAAATAAGAATATGCTCCTTGTGTGAGCATATAAAAACTGAGCCCATATTAAAACTGTAAAGTTATCAGTACAAACTCCTGCAGAAATGAACATTCAGGCCTTACTTATATACACACAGATGATATATTGTATCAAGATAAGTTAAGAATGCCTCTTTGTTTACATAAACAGAAAGCTTTTAATGAAGAAAAAAAATTGTAGTCATGATAATTCTAATTAACAACCAAAAACAAAAGGTCTTCTCAAAACCAGATTCATTGGTTGAGCTTTTTTTTTTTAATTTAAATTTAATTTTTAAATTCATAAAATATGAATTATGTTGCACAGTGGAACAGCTGATACTTGAATAACATGGCATAACACAGAGGTCCCCCCAGTCCATGGACCGGCACTGGGCCACAGCATGCCAGAAACTGGGCCATACAAACAAGTGATGCCCCATCCATGGGATGAAAGCAGCATGCAAAACTATGCCCCCTCTGGTCCACGGAAAAACCTCTCTCCACGGAACCGATCCCTGTTGCCCAAAAGGTTGGTGGCCGCTGTCATAACCCCATAATAGTTGTGTTATTACAAGAAATTTGTCAAATAAGCTAGAACTGTTTTTTTCTGATTTTGAAAACAGAATATTAATGATGCATACCTACGGCCTCTAACTAAAAGCCTTGAAGCCTTTCCATACATTTCAACGGCTTGCCGTAAACGTTCTTCATTCTGAGTAAAAAAAAAAACAATCACAAAAGCATAGGCATAAGCGAATTTTAAGTGGTTGATTTTAATGAAAGTTTTCTGAATTATTTAAGCTAACTCAGATTGAAATGCATACCATTCCCCAAATAAATTTCTCTTGAATTAAACAAAGTTTAATCAGGTTATTAATAAATACAATTTTATAAACTAGATGATATAACCTATGACCCCATCATGCTAATATGTGATACTATATGTGCTCCACACTTCCTCGTCCTATATGGCTAAATTATTTTTCAATTTCTCAAAAAGGCTTCTTTTAAAAATATTTCAGACATACCATCATTTGTCAGTGTAAAGAAATCATGAAACTAAGCCACTAATGTCAAACCTTTTCAACTCAGTATGTCAAAAATTCAGAAAATGACTCTGCTGGCCTGTCACACACAATCAGGGGGGAAAAATTATATGTTCCTCCCCTAACATCTAGGGCAATCTGAACAGTGATACTCAGTGGCAGCGCTAAAGCTGGACCTGAAGTCTAGGCCCGGTCCTTGATTTTAGCCCTAGTGCCATCACTGCCACTCAATACATGCGAACCTTGGCAAATGGTATGATTGCCCTCATGGCCCAGTGTTCCCCGGGCTCTGCCACGTGCCTCTTTCAGGCAGTGTTCTCTTTCTGTTGACAAGGCCCTGTGACCTAATCTAGGCTATTCTGAGTTGCATGAGGTCTTTGTTCTTGAAGAATGCTCTTCAGAGAATGCGCTTCCACAAACTTTGCAGCTTCTGAAACTGGGCAAAAGCACAACCCATTATCATGTGATTTTTTTAGAGGCTCAAGAAGTCATGTCAGAACACAGCCCTCTTGCTTGAGGCAATGCAGAGCACACCCTATTATCATGTGGCTTCCACAGCATTCAAAAATTTCACAAGAACAGGTCATGCTTTCGGGAATAGTTGTTAATGGGTGTTGGCATATCATCCAAAATGTCATGGTATGCCACCTTTGACATGCATGTCATAGATTTGCCATCATTGAGCTAGACAGTATTAAAAAAAACCCAAATCTTTCTTACCCCCTCCTAGCTGTAAAAACATCAATGGGAAACTATATCAAATTGAAGCTTGCTTATTTACAATAAGGGATAGTTTAATGCAATGTGCTTAGAAGACAACATAGTGTTAAATTGTAACTAAGACAGATACTGCATTTTTAGAAAACTGCTGAGAAATCTGTTGATGAGGTGGAGAAAGATAGCTAGGGGCCAGATTTGATTCCACTGACCTAGCCAGTTTAGATTTTTGCCATTCCTCCCTGCAGCTAACTTGCACTATACATAAAACAAATGACATTTTCAAATGGAAATGGGAAAAGTCATACAAAGATGGCTTCTACCACATCAGTTTGTCTACTAATCCATAGCAATAACTGGCAAGAAAATAATAATATATACAATACATGCTTTGAAAACACCCTAGCTCTTAATATTCACCTTTTGGTAAATAGTTAAATTTGCAACAGTGGACCGACAGATCACTTTTGGCATTCTTAGTTAAAAATATTTTATTTTACCATTTCAGAGGACTTACTTCAAATACTGAAGCCGTTTGCTGATATAGCTGTATAGCTTTGTCTGGATTTATGTTTTCTATTACCCTAAAATAAAAGATTCAACATTATTTACTCAGTTACTCAAAGAAATCTGCCTTGTTTTCCAGATAAGAAACTAATAGCTTGAGATCTCAGACTTACTTCCCAGCCCGATCGAGCGCAATAGCAGCTGTGTCAGGGGTTCCATTCTCTAGGTACATCATGCTGGCTTTCTGAATCAGCTCCACTGCATCGTGATGTTTTTGCATCTCCTGAAGATGAAAGAAAAAGAGCCAGGAAGCAGAACCTGAGAAATAGGTTCTCAGGAAGTATAAAATAAGTTGCTTTCAACCTTTTAATCTAATAAAAAGTATTGTTCATTTTAAAACATCACATATTTTGCCAACTCTCTCTCTCGAGTAACAGTGAGCAATTTCTGATAGATAGAAATATCAACAGGCTTAAAAATTCAGTGTCTGTAGAGAACAGCTTTATATGTGTGTTTCATTTATTTCTTGAGGACAAACAATATTGTTACATTTTATTACACTGTGTTTTTTTATATTGGATTGTTAACTGCCCAGAAGCAATTAATTGGGATAGTACAATTTCAATGTGATTGAAAAAAAACTTTGAAGGCTATTTTTTTTTTAAATCTATGATTGATCTGCGAAGGCTTTCCAAATGCCACAGATATCAAGTGATGCATATGTAAGTGAGCGAGAAAAGCTGAAAACTGTTCTTTTGCTCTAATAATGAATTGTTCTGAGAAAATTCCCATCATTTTACAATAACATACATTATCTACAGTGTGCATTATTTACAGTCTGTGCCAAAGCTAAGGTTATGGATTCATTTTCTAGATGGGAGGAAGGCAGGAAGGCGGGAAGGAAGGAAGGAAAGGTTCCAAATATCTGATCAGACAACACAGGTTACATCTCAGAAAAAATGTGAGTTAACAATTCTATAAAGAAGTGTACATTTAAATGGAATTCAATACAAAAGAGAACTTGTAAGTCTACACAGAACTATGAATCATGGATCCCCAAACTGGTTTATCCACTGTAATATGAATATTGCACAAATCATTCTAATATTTAGTTTTAACTAAAGGAGTTTTTTTTTTAAAAAATCATGTCATACCTTTAGCATCATTCCTGCTTGTTCATAAGCCCTGAAAAGAGAAATTAAAAGTATAACCGAGCAAATTAAATAAACATTTCATGGTAATATAGGATGGTTTCGATATATTTATGTACTCTATTCTATTGTTTTATTATTGGTATTGTTTAACTGCTGATTTGGGGCCATCTAGAGTTTAACAGATAACAGATAATCAGAGTTGGAAGGGACCTTATAGGTCATCTAGTCCAACCCCCTGCCCAAGCAGGAGTTTGATAGAAGATGGACAGCTATATAAATGTTTTTTAAAAATAAAAACAATTAACTTCTGGAAAAGGAGATCTGAGATCTCCAGCCTTCTGCCTATGTGTTCAGCTGAGTTTGCCTACAACTGGTTTCTCAGTCAAGGAGAAATGGTAACATATATCAAAAGCAGACTCATTTTCTAAATGCCACTCCTAATCTCAATAGAAAATCAGCAGACGTGAAAGACCATTTTTTTCTACAAAAGTAGGGAGAGCTACAGAAAGTGTTTGAACATATTATAGTTATACATTTCTCACTTCCAAAATTCTCAACTTTCTAGCAATATTTGATTATACTTGCATGCATATACATACATACATACATACACACACACACACACACACACACACACACATATGCATGCAATGGACAATCAACTTGTTGGTGTCAATTGTATTTCACATATAATATCACATTTGACAAATATTCATACGTACTTTGCAGCATGGAAGAAGCTGGATTTATGTTATTTCAAGTCAAGGATAAATATATATGCATGTACTATACATATAAAATATTTCTGGATAATTCCAATTTAGGTTAAACATCAATTAAACATTCTCTTTGAAACAGAAGCCTGATGAAAAGAAATCCAATAAAGCGTAGAATGTATCAATAAGCCCTCATGCCTGCTTCAGAATCAATGTATTATTTTTCTTTAGTACTTTAGCTTTCAATACTATAACTATGATTTCCTAATCTCGGAGATTTCAAAGTTTGGTCATATCCAAAATTGTGCAAGAGGACTTCACACTGCAACATATTTTCCTCTTCTTCCCCTTTTTCCCATAATATCCCAAGTTCCTCCAATTTATTCTTGAAGACTTCTCAACATTCCAGAACATATTTGGAAGCAGAAAGACTGCAGGAGAAAGGGGACGTTTCTTATCACTACAAAGCAAGTTTTTAAAATATGTAGGCTTTTCTTAAAACACTCTGCAATCCTCCGAGGAATAGTCATATTTTAAGCAGCTCTTGCATGAATGGCTAAGCAATGAGGCCAATGAAGGAATTCTCTGAAATCTTCCTCACAGATTTGATATAAAAGAAATGTATTTGCTATTCTAATGTTAGTTTGTTACTCAAAATTACTTTTCCATAAAAATAAAAATCTCAATGAATATACATTAATGGGTCACTGGGAGGTCTGGAAACATTATAAAGTTAATTAACAGGCATATCCTATAACTGTTTGTTATTTAATTACATAATCACAAAATTGGATCTGGATATACATAGGTACAATAACATTTTCCTATTACAGGGAATAATCTTCCATTAATTTTCTGTTAAAACACCCTTAAATACGACAAGATACAATTATATGTTTGGAGTAGGCATACATTCATATAAACCCAACATGAAGTCCAATTACTTAAGGGACAAACAACAAATAATGAAAAGATACGCTTTATTATTTTCATGGGATAGGGCTTCTCTAAAATAAGCTTCTTTTGCTTGTTCAAATTGTTTGGCATTTTTAAAAGCAACAGCTGCAAAAAATAATAAAAAAGAACATTATTATTGCTTTGGAGAAATAACTTTAGCAATTTTTAAAAGACATAATTTATTGTTTTAAAACCGTTCTTATCCAGTATTTTAGCCAAAGTTTGGGGGCGCCGATGTGGCACTTGTTTGTTTGCTTTTCTCTTCTGCTGCCCCAGCTGAATCCATTTTTTAGATATTCAAAGTAAAGCCTTAACTTTAAGCATGATCTTTATCTTTAATAGGATATTTAATATTCTTCTATCCCTTAAACATTCATGGAAAATAAAAATCAGATTCCCATAGCCCTGTGCTGTAAATAAATAAATTTAAATAAATTTAAATAAAGTTTGCCTACTTGCTCTAAAAAAGATAATTGTCTAAAGAGTTTTTTGATAATATGTATTTTTAATAGCTACATCGATAACTAAAAGCCATTTTTTGAGCTTTCAAATGTACCCATTGTTCCAAATGAGCTGATGACTCCTGATCTATAGGTTCTTAGGGAAGTTAACCAATCCAACAGTTGTCTCCTATCTCTTTTCATAAACTTCCTATAAGCTTAAAATCAAAGTATATGTAGTCTTCTTGATATAATCCTAGTATGTGCTATTGAATACAATAGGAATTAATTCCAGATTAAAAAGGGAAATGGGTTATCCAAAATACAACAGGACATATACTTGATGCAAGCAAGAAATAAGCCAACATTCAAATTTTTAGTTACTAGACACTAACACAGGTAGATAAAGTAAATTCTCAAAAGGGCAGCAAACTGCAATTATTTAAAAAAATAGACTACTTGTAAATGCCATCCAACTGTACAGGATAAAATTAATACAATTTGTTAGTAAACCAAAGCATATTATTTTTATCAATAGCCCATGTGTGGAATAAGTATGATACAGTAAATACTTGAATTAGGATTCAGCAATAAATTATATTCATAAAAATGGGTTTGGGAAAATCATTTTTATTGCATACACCACAATGACTATGAAATACATTTAATGTTTACCTTTTCATTAAACATTTTTAGCAAAGAAAAGGGAAAAATTATACATACATACATACATACATATATTTATATCCAAGAAAATTGATATTTCGTTGTATAATTTGAAAAATTATTTCCAAATTTAATTAAATTCAATGTCAGTTTTGCTTTTGAAATGTGAAGTCATTCTGGACATCAAGTCCTATTCCTAGAGCTGAATTAACCATTCATTATTCTGCAGAAGAAATTAAGATTTAAAAACAACCCTCTTATTTTACAATACATACCTGCCTTGGAATATTCTGTAGCTGCACTGTCATAGTCCGGTTTCCATTTTAATAATCCAGTTTTCAAGCTGAAAATCAAAATGTGAAGCCATTAATAATATTGTTTATAATGGAGAGGATGGAGACAGCTTTCATGCCATCTTTCATACCACTAATTTCGGTTCATTATAGCAAAACCCTGGTGCCAGTATCAGGTTCACCTTTTTAATGGATAAACTACAAAAATATATATAGTCAAGTCTGATTACATGCTAATGTTTTGGAGGCCATATTTTATCACCATGCTCAGATATGGCTTCTCTTTCAACCACTATCTCTGTCTGTCATAATTTAAAGGATCTCAGCCAAAGAAGGCCAGGATCAGATGAAGCGCTAATAATAATTGTTTCAGGAAGCAGATGTCTTTGAAGAAAAGGAGTGATAGGCAGCTGTAATATGACATAAATAATACTCAGTTACTGTCCGGTTTGAAGTCTCTTCGGCGACAGACAAAAATCCACGATCGTGCGTGGTTTCGGTCTGGGCTCGCTGCTGGAGCGCCCCGAGCTGGCTGGTTTCGGGGCTAAGCCACCCCGTAGAGGTGGTGAAGAGGGAGGAGACCGCCAGCAGAGTTGAGGAGAGCCGCATCTCTCCTCCTCAGCTGGGCATTACTCCCTTTCCTGAAGGCGATTGCAGCGGTGGTCAGAAATGGCCACCACAAAGAAGAACTCGACCGGAAAAGAATGTGCAGGAGGAAGATAATAAGTGAAAGTTTTTGCTGACCGGGTTAAATTGTAAAAGCAACAACTAAGGAAGGGAGAGAAAAAGAATAAGGGCAGGATCTGGAAGAGGGAGGAGACTGCCTGGAATTAAAAAGAATCTACAGTAATACCTCAACAAGACTTCTAAAAGATACATTTTAACTGAAACTTTGTAACTAAACAGTAACCCCAAGAAGAGAAAGTGAAAAAAAAAGAGCAAAAAGAAACAGCTTGTGTGTATTTGGATTATTTGGTGATCTTTGGATTCTTGGTTATTACATTTGAATGACTAAAATTAATCGGGTGGTTGTTTAAAAATTTATACAATGGCACCACTTCTGGATGAATTGAAAATGGAACTTAAAAAGTACAAAGAAGATGCACAAGAAGGGAAGGGTTCTTTTGGCTTCGTTTTTCAATTCTTAGAAATGGAGATTTGGAACTATGAGAAACAACAAGAAACGTCTGCAAAACAAGAAGATTGGGACAAAGAAGAAGCCATCTTTAATGAACAAGTAATTTTATGTGGGGAAGAAAAAGGAAAGGGAGGAAAGAGAATGGAGAATTTAAGACTTAAAAAAACAACCAAAGAAAAGAAAAATAATTTGAAAAATAAGTATAATACTGGAAAGCAACAGAAAAGGGGAATACAGAAGAGAGAAATAGAGGTAGAGAGACAAGGGGGTAAAAAGGGGAGAGAGAAGAAGAGAGGGAAGAAGGAAAGGAAAAGAAGTTACAAAGGACCGGAGCAAGATATAGAGAAACAGGACCTATTTAGAGATAATGGGTGAAAATCTAACTGAAAAAAGGGATTCTGTAAAGGTACATAAGGTTGTATTGTTATATTAGTAATAGAAATAACTTTAGAAAATTGGAAACAATGTATGATTAAAATGAGGGATAAAATAATTAGTGTAATTTAGTGAAATGTTTGTTAATAAAATAAGTGAAATAAAATAAATGAGAAAATTGAATTAGGAAGGAACGGGAACATTTTAATTAGTTAATGTTTTACAAAATATAAGTGAAGAGGGGGGGAAATTAACTATGGAAAGCTTATAATTGTTCCCATAGAAGTATGATATTTAATTGAAAAGTAATGTTAAAGAAGTTAAGATTTTAATGAATATTAATATTGATAGAATTTAATTGGAATGGAATGTGTTGTTTTAATTACATACATTTATAATTTTTTCTTTTTTTAAGAATATAGTGTGTATTTTAAGAATGTACCAAGCAGAATCCGAATGGAAGTTATGTATTATATTGAATGTTATAACTTTAGGGTATATATTGAAGCCTAAATAAGAGTTACATGGATAAACTTAAAAGATATAAAGGCGTCATACTCCAATCAGTAACTACAGGAGAAATTTTGTTTAATGAGAAAAGATAATAGATAATTGAAACAGGACAGACAAAAAATATAAATACAATGATTTGAATTGAGATGAGATAATTAAAATAAAACTGAGAAAATTAAAAGAGGGGAGAAGCTATGCAGAAAATGTAAAATAGTAATAAGATATGGAATAGAATATAAAAATGAGCATGAACTTGAATTTGTGTCTGTACGAAGAAATGTAACCCAGGATTACGCTACTTTCAAAAAAGATGTTTTATTTGTATTTTTTTTCTCTTTGTGAAAACTCAAATAAAATTTACAAAAAAAATAATAATACTCAGTTACAGAAGATTTTTGACACATTATGCAAATACGGAGCTCTCTGGAGAAGGCTCTGATGCTGCAAAAGGAAAAAGAAAAAAGAAGAGGATGACCAGCAGCAAGATGTTGGAAGACCTGAAGGTTCAGACTAGAGGCAGACCACCATGGCTAAAAGCCGTTTATGTAGTCCCCTAAGAATCAACACCAATTGGAAGGAACATAATCAAAACCAATCTGTAGAGCTTCAAACTCAAGAGACAATCAGCCCATGAAAAACAGTAGGACCATTGAGCAGCCTGCTTAATAAATGTAAAGCCTATAGGGTTTTGTACTACATGTAATGCTCAACTTACAACAGTTCACTTAGTGACCTTTGAAGTTACAACGACACTGAAGTGACTTATGACCATTTTTCACAATTATGACCATTGCAGCATCCCCATGGCAAGTGATTTACATTCAGATGCTTGACAACTGGTTCACAATTATGATGGTTGCAATATCCGGGGGTCATGTGATTCCCCTTTTGTGACCTTCTGACAAGCAAAGTCAATGGAAATGCCAGATTCACTTAACAACGGCGTTACTCATTTAACCATCGCAGTGTTTCGCTTTGACACATTTTTTGGAATCAGAAGAAAGCTGGGAGGGAACTTGGAGGCCTTCTAGTCCAGCCCCCCCTTTCTCAAGCAGGAAATTCTATATACCACGTCTAGGAGCTTTAACACATGTCTCACTTAACAACATAAATACTGGGCTCGGTTGTGGTCTTAAGTCGAGGACTAGTTGAACATAAGTAAGATCAGAGGTTCCAAATCAGGAGCTGTTTGCTTCTTTTCTAAAGTGGAAAGGGGACCTTACTGACACAAAACGCCCAATTCCAGCCTGGAGACGAACCTCCACTCCTTGGTGCATCTTTTCAACAGGAGGATCCACTGGATCCACAAACCCATCTCGTGATACCACCCCTCCCCTTCCCGTCCCCAGGCTGTAGATGTTGACTCAGCGAGGTCTTCTCTTTAAAGCAGCCGCCCCGGGACCCTCTTTGGGAGCCCCCTGGAAATGGTCGTGGCCACAAAAAAAAAAAAGAGAGGCGGAAGAGCCCACTCATCGTCCTGCCCAGCCGCGGAGGAGGAGGGGCCCCGCCTTCCCGCTCTGCCTCCCGCCGGTCGGCCCGCCCGTTCCTGCAGCTCCGCTCACTATTTTTCCGCTTTGGCGATGTGCTCCAAGCCCTCGTTGATCTTCTGGGCAGCCATATCAGCCAAGCCGGAATCGCGGCGATTCAAAGCGTCGACGTCAGCGGAATAAGGAAAGCCGCTTCGGCCAAACAATGCAAAAGGCGGAGTCGGGCTTCAAAAGGTGCGCCTGCGCAAAGCGAGGAGAGTTTCCTTTTCTTAGGCTGTTGGACCCGTAGTTTTAATACCTGGAAGCGATCCGTTTAAACGGGATTCCCCGGGGAAGGAAGAGGGCAACGGATGGACGGCGTAACAATCTCGCGGCTCATAAATAAATCGTAATATTGTCTTCCTCAGATGAAAAGCGTTTACATTCTTTTTGCAGAATGGTAAGAATGGTAACCCTCAAAAATCTTAGAATTCCACAGGGAATAGAATAGAATAGAATAGAATAGAATTCTTTATTGGCCAAGTGTGATTGGACACACAAGGAATTGTCTTGGTGCAAATGCTCTCAATGTACATAAAAGAAAAGATACATTCGTCAAGAATCATAAGGCACAACAATTAATAATAGTCATAGGGTACAATAAGCAATCAAATAGTACTAGGAAACAGTCGATAAAACATTGCCATACCCATTCCAGCAGAATGAGCTAATGTGATGGTAGAGCAGTACCTAAGGTGCAGTACCTAAGGACTGTAATATAAGCCTAACTAATTATTTTTTTCTGATAACATCCCTTTATTAAGTATCTCATCATACAATGATGAGATACATACAAAGTTTTGGCATCAAAAGACCTACAAATGTTTTACACTATGTGATTGGAAATCCATCCAATCCTGGTGTTTTACAACTTGCCATATTTAAAATTATTTGTTTGATGTTTGCCCTGCAAATATTATTTGTATTTCCAGCTTTAATTCTGAACAATTCTCTGGTTTGCAAAACTCAAAAGAGAAAAATGTACAAGTGGGAAGCTGCCCATTCTGTAATAAATAAGCCTAAAATCCACTTCAGTTATTTTTGTATCAAAGTAGTGAAGATAAGACTTGATTGGTAGCCAAGGAATCATATAGTTTACTTTTCCTCATATATAGTTGTTTATTAGCTTATAATATAAAATAAAAAAAATAAAAAAACAAATAGTAAGAAACAAAAGGGCGGGAAAGGGGAAAAGAGGAGTGTAGAAAAGAAGGGGAGAAAGGTCACAAGTCAATGGAATCACGTAGTTTACTTTTTAAGTACAGTGTGACATTACCAATGGCTACAAAATGTATCTGCATCCTCTTGATTTTATTTTCTTGTCCTCATAGAAGCAGGGGTGGGATACTGGGGGTTTGCAGGGGTTCAGGAGAGCCCTAGCTAAGATTCTGTGCAGTTTGAAGAACCCCCAAATCCTACTCCTCAACGCCCCCCCCCCCCCCCCAGGAGTCCCCACACGGCCCATTTGGATGCAGGTAAGTGCAGGGTGTGCACGGAGATGCGGGGAAGGTGAAAAATGGGCCTCCCATAAGTTCGGGAAGGCCAGAAATGCGCCCGTTTCCAGTTTCCAGAGAGCCTTCAGAACGTGGGGAGGCCATTTTCACCCTCCTGGAGGCTTGAGGAAAGCCTCCGGAGTCTGGGGAGGGCAAAAACAACTCCCCTGCCATGGTGCAGGAGGCCGGCTAAGCCATGCCCACTATGGCCATGCTGATCCAGCAACTGGGCAGAGAACCCTTTGCTAAAAATTTTGAAGCCCACCCCTGTATGGAAGTAATTAATATATAAGCTATTTTACTATATTAGTAGGAAATCAGATAAATAAAAATCTGATCCTTGCATATAAAAGCCACTATTTTAAAACCCAATAGATATAAAGAACATAAATGTATCTACCTATGTAGATAGATAGGTAGAAGCTATGACATTATGTAATACTTTTTATGTATCTCACCATAGGCACATATTAGGTGGTGGTCACAGTTTTTATATAGTAAAAATATGTAAAAAAAATATTGCAAACATCTCAGTACAGTGGGGCAACTAATAAAAAAATAACTCTTATAAGCATAAGTTTTCCTGCATTGCTGATATAATAGCAGAGTGTTTTATCTATATGGTTCATGCTATATTTTATATTATCTCCAATGCTGTGACTGGTCCATGATTAAAATGAAGTCTGGGAATGTCTGATTATCTGGCAGAGGAAGTTTTTTCCTTGCTGGACAAATGCCAGGAAAAAAGAGCTTAGGCAAAAGGCAGTTTTCTATCAGGTAATCAGAACATAAGGCGTGGGAGGTAAGCAATGACTAGATATACTTGGCAAGGAATGTTGCAGAGAAACCTCACAGAACTCATTTTCTTTAGTACTTCAAGTCTGGACAACTTGTTTTTCTATCTGCTACAATCAGTTACATTGTGCATGTGTTTTTCAGGACAGGAAAAGATGGCATCTTTTTCCCTCTCCTCTCTTTTTTTCCAATAGTCTTAGGTATCAGCTGATGATTGTATTGGCCCCAAAAGTATAAGGGAAAAAGTTAACAAAAAAGAATGCCCAACACTGAATGGAAATTATTAAAGGACCCAAATGATGGTAAGATAATAGAAGGCTAGTAGAAAAGGTGAAATGTAATGTCCTTGAACATACCGTATTTGCCGGCGTATAAGACGACTTTTTTGCCCCGAAAAACATGCCTCCAAGTGGGGGGGTCGTCTTATACGCCGGTATATCCACTGCCGGCTTTCGGATGCTTGTTGGACGCAGCGAAGGCGCCTCTGGCTTCCTGGATCCCCTGCGTCGCTTCCGCTTCATCCCGCTCGCCTCGCTCCGCCCGAGGTTGCAGCCTTCCTGCTCTTCCCACGGCCCCTGGCACTCTGCCCTGCCGCTGCAGCCCCGGGGATTTCTGGAGGGCGTTTCCGGTGGTGGTGGGGGGTCGTCTTATATGCCGGGTCGTCTTATACGCCGGCAAATACGGTACATACCCGCAGAGGTGGTGTTCAGCAGATTCTGACAGGATCTGGAGAACCGGTAGCAGAAATTTTGAGTAGTTTGGAGAATCGGCAAATACCACTTCTGACTGGCCCCGTCCCCATCTATTCTCTGTCTCCTGAGTCCCAGCTGATCGGCTGGGTCTTTTGTTGCCCTGCACAGGAGAACAGAACTGGAAAGCAGGTTAGTGGGATGGGGAGGGAATGGAGATTTTGCAGTATCCTTCCCCTGCCACACCCACCAAGCAATACCCACCAAGCAATGCAACGCCCACAAAACCGATAGTTTTTTTGAATCCCAGCACTGCATACCTGGCGCTCAATCCTTTCTAATTTTAAGAGCAGGTCAGATATTCCAATTCTATGAACTATCCAGGAATAATCTACTTAAGTTTCACATCAGTACCCTCCTGTTAAATATATCTTTGCCTAAAGCTCATTTGGAAGACACGTATCTATTTTGAGCAATTATCACAATTCTGCATATTACAAAACGGGAAAAGGTAAAAATTTCAGAGTGAACCCAAGGGTTCAAAAAATAATTGTTTTGTGACCTGGTATGGACTGACTCAAGAAGGCATTTGAATGTGGTGCTTTCCGTGTTATCATGTGTTCTGGGATTTTGATTACCACACTCTGGGGCACACCTTGGCAATTTGAAGATATATGGACTTCAACTCCCAGAATTCCCCATGCTGGCTCTTGGAGCTGAAGTTTACGCATCTTCAAGTTGCCACGATTGAGAAAATCAGGACCTGACAAGCAGTGAATTTGGGGGTCTGGTAGTGTTGCAGCTATGCATCAACTTATGTTCAGATTGTATTTATTTGCAAGCAAAGTAAAATATTACAACACATTAAACATTTGTAATGAGTAAATTATCCCTGGAACATCAGCCACAAATATGGAACCAAGGTTCTCCTTTTGTTTACTTCTTTTATCATAGCATAATTCAGTTTGCATCCTTTATAATATTAATATTTTAAAAAATATTGTCATGTGAAACACTTTACCAAACAACCCCTATAATCAGCTTCCCAACCTACATAGATCATGACATCAGTGGTGGCTTGGTTAATGACCCCAGATTCCCAGATGATACAGATTGACAGTAAGTAGTGTTGGCATCTCTAAAACCTCTTATTTGGCTGAGCTTCGTTTAGATTTCACCCAAGGAGTTATGCTCAGTTTTTTTTCTTTTACAAATGAAACTCTTTGAACTAGTTGGCACTGGGAGCATAACACATACAGATTAAGCAAAATGTCTTCATTTCTTTGAACTTGCAGTACCTGAATAAAATGCTGAACTCTACTTAGAAACAGATGTGTTGGAATCAACGATGCCATAAGAATTATTTGAGTTCTAATTTTATTGACCAGATATATAATTTTGGAATAATGATGAAAATTCTTTATGACTGTAGGTTAAGTGTCTGTGTGTCTGTCTGTGTGTTTGTGTGTGTGCGCACAACAATAACACAAACGCACAAAAGACATCCTCTCCTCCAATGAGTTCTCCTGTTGTTTTAATAAAAAATTGTTTGGACTAGGATGCAGAAGATAAACCTGCTCCACATCAATCAATCAATCATCATGCATTGCATTAATTAATGTTGCTAGGACTCAATAAAACATATGCTTAATTTCTTTTAATTTGCAAGAGCTTTGGGATTCATGAGAATCAGATATTGTTCAGACACACAAAATAATGTGAACAATTTTTCTCTTTTCTACCTATTTATGGGGTATTTACATTTTTAAATTGCATAGAGATTATTGTATGGTTGGTTGTGTTTAGTTTAATTTTTTTTTTCTTTTCTTTTTTAGTGGTGTTTGTCCAGTTTTACTTGTGGAAGAGCACCTCATTTCGTTGCACCCGCTTGCGAGTGTAATGACAAATAAATTCTTATGTCTTATGTCTTATTTATCTTGAGCACAGGGCAGAACCAAAGTTTGTCAATTGAATTGCCTTGCATTTGTATCTGTTAAAAGTTGCTATTTTTGGTAATAAAAGTTTCTGAAAGGGTAGAATCCAAAAATATGGAACAGCTTTTAATCATGCCATGACAGAATCTAGAATTGTTCCACATGATTTTGTTTGCTGTATTTAAACACTTTGCTTCTACAGTATGAACAACAAGTTACATCCTTAAGGTTGACAAGGCAATTCTTCCATGTACACATGTACATAATGGCTATGCAAAACA